ACTGACACTTCAAAGAAGACTGTAGTTTTGAAACACTCAGGAGGGGAGGTTTGGGGGAGGTAGAAGGGGACATAGAGAACAGAGAGGAGGAGAGTTCAGTGGAGTGTGGTGCAGGATTGAGGACTTTAGTCACTTTGTTGTTGGGAAATTTGTGGTGACCTCACCTGAGGCGAGAAATCCTATACTGTGAAAAAATAAACAAGGATGCTTGTAGGGTAAAGAAAAAAATATCAGGCTTTTCTGCTCTCCTGCCATCAGGATAGATGATGGATCCTTGCAGCCCTGAATGCATGCCTGATGGCGGGCACATGGAGTAGGGTGTGGGCATAGGTAGATGGGATTCACCTGGCTTAAGACTGGGTTTTTAAGGGCGGCATCATGGGGACGCCAGTAGAAGCCGAGAAAGAAGCTGAGAGAGAAGCAAGAGAAGCAGAAGCTGAGAGAAGGACAGAGATCCCAGAGTGAAGACCTGTTGGGGGCTGGGAGGCCTGCCAGCCTACCAGCCCCCCAGTGCCCCTGCCTGCCGTGTACCTGGTAATCCCAATAAAAACCTGCAAAACCACTGAGGACTCTGACTCCTCCTTTATCAGGTCTGCTGGATTGTAGAAAACCTGCACTGTGGCCCATCCTGCCCCTACAATGCTTAATCTTCATTTAAAGAATATTTCCTTGAATATTGTACATATGAGTACCTCTATGGTTTTTCATATATTAATTCTGAGTACCTTTGTTGAATTCTAGGTAATGTTTTCATCTCAGAGTGTTATCTGGGACAATAACATCCAGATAGTTTGCAATTGTATACAAAGCAGTTCTTTCTATCTTCTGAGAGCTTTGTTTGATGTTTAGTAATACATATGCATTTATGTCACTAATTATCATGGAAATGCAAATCAAAACTACAGTGAGGGCCTCCCTGGTGGTGCAGGCCATTGAGAGCAGAGCTGTGAAGATGTCTGCAGCCTCTGCAGTGCAGTTTTGATCCTGGTCAGCTGGGGAGATAACCCATATGGCATGGCAGACCTCTCCTGTTTTGCCCACTGCTCCCCTCAGCAGTGTATATCTGTCAGTCTGCCTGTTCTGCTCCACACTCTGTCTCTGGTGAATCCTCTCGCCCTCCTGCACATCTGGCCTATACCCTGGTTGTTGTACAGATGAATAAATAAATCTTACCCCATAAAAAAACCAAAACACACACATGAGATTCTGCCTCACACCAATGAGAATGGCCCACATTAAAAAAAACAAAAAAAACAAACAAACAAACAAACAAACAAAAACGCTGGAGAGGATCTGGAAAAAAATGAACACACTTATACTTCTGGTGGGAATGTAAACTGGTCCAGCCACTATGGAAAGCTGTATGCAGTTGCCTCAGAACACTAAAAATGAATCTAGCATATGATCCAGTGATCCCACTCCTAGGAACCTACCCAAAGAGGTCAAAAACTCTAAATCAAAAGGAAACCTACACTCTTATGTTTACTGCTGTGCTATGTACAATAGCCAAGATAGGGAAACAACCCAAATGCCCCCAAACAGAGGAATGGATCAAAAAGTTGTGGTATATCTATATAATGGAATATTATTCAGCAATAAAAAAGATAAATCTATACCATTTGTGGCAACATGGATGGAGTTAGCATAGATCATGCTAGCCAAAATGAACCCCAAAAAAGATAAATACCTTTGGTTTCCCGTATATGTGGAATATAGAGAAATGAACAATAGGTCATCAAAAAGACAAAAACTGGCAAGCTAATCATAGATCTGAGGCATATAGTCATGGATAGTCAGGAGAGGGAGGACAAAATAGGGGAGGGAAGAACACAAAGGAAATACAGTGATGTTCCCTTTTTTTAAACATTACCTATGTGTGTGTGTGTGTGTGTGTGTGTATGTACATATACATTTCTATATTTATTCATCCATCAATAGACATTTAGATTGCTTCTAATTGTGAATAATGCTGAAATGAATAAATGAATACTGGGGTGCAGAAACTTATTCAAAATTCATATATTTTAACTTAGATATACACTCAGGAAAGGGATTTGAGTCATAGCTATATGTTTTTGAGGAAACTCCATACAATTTTCCATAGCTTCAGTCAGATATCACCTCACATCTGTTAGAATTACTATTGACAAAAGTTATAATCTTTTGACAAAATAAAAAAATACTATTGACCAAAGTTATAATATTATTCACACTGTAAGTTATGGAATTATGTGCTCTAAATGCAAATGGAAATCAAAATATTCCATCTATTGTACAATAGTGAAACATAATAAAGATGTAATATAATAAATATAATAAATTATAATATTGTATAATAACAAACATGAAATATCCAGTCATAATTCAAATATATTGCACACAATACATTCTGCATTTAACTGCATATAATGTATATATTATGTATATTCATATATAATATAAATAATGTCTGTAGTAGCATGTGTACTATGCTAGATCCAAATTACATGAGTTTATAAAATACCAAGTAACAAAATTTAAAAAATATTTGTTATGAAGAGTTATTTTTTCCTTTTAATTATTTTGTGTTATTGTATGCTTCATATATATATAATATACATATATACTTTATATGGCTATGCTATGTATATATAAGGAAAATCATGTCTAAACTACCACTAAATCACAGTGTCTTCTACCACAATGGTGTATTGAATAAGTAGAGGGCTGAAAGCAGAGTAATTAATAATATCAATATCATAAGAAGTCAAATTTACAAAAAGTGAGCTCTGTAAATTCTCAGTGTTGGGCACCCTAATTTGAAAAGCCTGATATATAAGTATGATTGTCACAATTCCTTTTTTAATATTATATCATTGCCACCTAGATATCATGTAGTGTTATTCAATGACAAGGAAAAAGAGTCCTTCAGTACAAAACTAAAAATTGCCAGAATTAAATCAACAATATAATAGAAGAAATAAACATGTGCTTTTATAATGTTTTAATCAAAACATTTATGAGATGTAAACATATGTTTTTAGTATAGCAAAACAGATGTTCTTTCATGAGTTCATGAAAGTAACAACCATATAAGCCTGTGATATAATTTAGTGTATCAATAGTCCTAATATAATGTAAGATTAGGAATGATTTGAGATGGTCAAAAAAAAATTTGGGACATTCTCTCCTTCATTGTGAGGATATAATAGTGAGTCAGAGTAGAAACCTGATTTACAAACAATCTAAATTAAAAAAAAAAAAGCAAGTATGGTATTTTGAAAGAAATGTCTAAAATTAACTCACTGGTTGTGTGTTGTTTGCTGAGACACTGCTAGAAGATATTCTTTTGAAATCTCTACATGAATTTTAAGGTAGATATAAACAAGTGTAATTACTGAAAATATTGCAATTTTTAAAATGCACTGTTTATATTAATATTGATCCTAAAAGAAATTTTCTTTTCAGCGAGGATTCAAATACTATATATCTCTAGGATAAGGTATTGAAATTCACTAAAATATGAAAATTAAACTTTATTTCTCATAAAACCTGATCCTACAAAGAGATTAAATATATTTATATTAATGTGATATTGGTTTAAACATTATATGATTCAGAATTATTGGATCATGCCTCTTCAGATGTTTACTACCATATCATGCTAATAAGGTACCCATAATACTCCACTATAGTGTATATATTTATTTTGAGCACTATATCTAAACAAATATCTGAGCTTAAACAATTTTTAGCATTGTTCATGAAATGTTGTAGAAGTTGTAAATTTTAATTTAAATGCAATATTATGGCACATGCATTGTCTTGATCAAATCATATTTTGTTGAATGCAAGAGGCCATAAAATTGAATAATGAATATTTTAATTTTATTTACTAAGAGAAAACCAATGTGAGGATATATAACATCTTTATATGGATTATGAAACACATACTAAGGGGCGACTAAAGAAAATTCCATGAATTACAAATTTTGCAATTTCTGCAAGTCTCAAAAGTTGCAAGAAACTGTTTTTATCACTCCAGTGTGTTTCATTTTAATCAACTATACATTTTAAATAAAATAAATATAATTTTAAGTAAAATCATGTAATTTTATAATGTTTTAATCAAAGCATTTATTAAACTTAATTATAATAAATTGAAGCTCTATAAGAGATAATGTTTTAAATGTATTGACTAAAGTATTGTTTAAAAAATATATGATTTTTTTAAAGCAAAACCACAATATCAGTCTATGTACCAGGAATACATACAGCATGACCTCTCTGTCTTTAATTGTCATCTGCATTTCCACTCACATAATCTCTGCATGTTCATCCTCCCTAGACTTTCAGGTGCAAGCAGTTAATGAGATAAAATAGATAAATTTGGACAAATTCTTAGGAATCAAGCATCACCAGTTCTCAAGATGTATAATTAGTTTTGTAGCCCCAAACACAATGTCTAGAAAAAGAAACTTACAGGGTTCTAATTACAAATATGTCCAAAGCTTCAAACATTTTTATTACTTTCATCGTATCCAAGTCATCACCATTTCCTCCTTACACCAGTAGAGTCTATTATACACAGAAAAACTAAAGTAATCCTCACATATATAACTCATATTATTCACCACATAAGACCAACAAAACTATTCTCTATGATGTTTTGATAGAGATTTTGGTACAATGTAAGAATACTTTGAGTATCCATACTGTTCATTATACAGGGGTGGACTAGTCTACATTTCCACTACATTCCAAAAATGGTCTCATTTTTTCCACATCCTCCTAAAACATCTCATTTTGTTTTTTAGATATGGGCCATTCTCACAGATGTAAGATCACATATTATTGTTGTTTTTGATTTAATTTCCACGGCAATTAGATATGATAAAAATTATTTATCTATAGATCATCTGTATGTCTTTATGGAATTTCTATTTATATATTTAGATATTTTTTATAATGGGCTTGTTTACTACTGGTTGAGTTGGTTGAGTCTCTTTTTTTTTTTTTAGAACTTGGCTATCCTGGACAGATAACACCAACATCAAGAGAAAGAAGAGCAAGCATTAACAAATGCACTTCATCAAATTAAAAAGCTTATGCAACAAAAGAAACTACCACTAAAATGAGTTTGTACCCTACTGAACAGCAAAAGATAGCCACACATGAAATATTTAGCAAGGAGTTAATATCCATGATCTACAAAAAACACATACAGCTCAACAACAGTAACAACAAATACAAATAACCCACGAAAAATGGGCAAATGAGTTAGATACTCCAAAGAAAACATACAGATGAAAATAAACAAATAAATGAATAAAACTCATCGATACTTAAAGAATGCAAAAACACTAATCTGTTTTTTTAATATTTTATTTTATATAATTCTTACATCATTTTTCATCTTTGCACAATATATGCATTTTCATTTTGGTTATAGTCCCCATACGATTGCACCCCCCCCCTTATTTTGACTCTAGTCCTTCCTTTCCCCACTCGCCCCACCACCCCAGTTTGTCTCTGGTTTATAGTTGCTTGTTGATTTTGATTTTTACTTTATATTGATTAGTCTTTTTCCTGGTCTCTTATTTAAGTTTTCTAAATCCCTACTATGAGTGAAACCATCCAGTATTTTTCTTTTTCTTTCTGGCTTATTTCACTAAGCATGATCCCTTCTAGCTCCATCCATGTTGCTGCAAACTGCATGTGTTTATCTTTTTTTGATTGCTGAGTAATATTCCATTGTGTATATATGCCAAATCTTCGTATAGTGGTTAGTAGTCTGCATTGTAGCATGACTTTTTTTTTTGTGAAAGTGGCTGCTTTTTATTAAATAAATTTTATTTTTATATTCCCCATACAATTGCAATCCCCTTATTTTGACCCCAATCCCACCCCTCCCTGCCCCCACCCCCCCTAGAGTGTCTCTGGTTCATAGTTGTTTGTTGATTTTTATTTTTTCTTTCTTATAGTTATTCATTTTCCTGGTCCCTTTATTGAGTTTTCTAGATTCCTGCTATGAGTGAGACCATCCGGTATTTTTCTTTTACTTTCTGGCTTATTTCGCTGAGCATGATCTCTTCCAGCACCATCCATGTTGCTGCAAATTGCATGTGTTTATCTTTTTTGAATGCTGAGTAATATTCCATTGTGTATATGTACCACATCTTCGTGATCCAGTCATCTATTTTTGGGCATTTGGGTTGTTTCCAAAGCTTAGCTATTGTAAACAGTGCTGCTATAAACATAGGGGTGCAGGTGCTCTTTGGAATTGATGTTTCTGTGTCCTTGGGGTAAATACCTAGGAGTGGAATTGCTGGATCAAATGGAAGCTTTATGTTTAGTAGGTCAAGAAATCTCCACACTGCTCTCCATACTGGTTGGACAAGTTTGCACACCCACCAACAGTGCAGGAGAGTTCCTTTTTCTCCACAACCTCTCCAATATTTGTTGTTGCTAGTTTTTTTAATATGTGCCATTCTCACTGGTGTTAGATGATATGTCATGGTAGTTTTAATTTGCATTTCCCTCTTTACAAGTGATGCTGAACATTTTTTCATATGCCTGTTGGCCATTTGCATTTCCTCTTCAGAGAAGTTTCTTTTTAGCTCTTCTGCCCATTTTTTGACAGGATTAATTTCTTTGTTGTTAAGTCTCATCAGCTCTTTGCAGATTTTTCTGATCAGTCCTTTATCATTAGTGTTGTGTGCAAAAATGTTCTACCAGTTGGTGGAGTTTCTCTTAGTTTTTGTTATTGTCTCTTTTGCTGTGCAGAAGCTCTTCAATTTGATGTAGTCCCAGCTGTTGATCTTTGCCTTCGCTATCACTGCTTTGGGTGATGTGTCTATAAAGATATTTTTGATGTGCATATCATGTAGTTTTTCGCCTATATTTCCTTCTATAATTTTATGGTTTCAGGTCTTATGTCTAGTTCTTTAATCCATTTTGAGTTGATTTTTGTGGATGGTGTGAGGTGACGGTCAAGCTTCATTCTTTTGCATGTAGCAACCCAGTTTTCCCAGCACCATTTATTGAACAAACTTTCTTTGCCCCAATGCATAGTCTTTGCTCCATTGTCAAAGATTAGTTGACCATAAATCTGTGGGTTTATTTCTGGATTTTCTATTTGATTCCATTGGTCTGTGTGTCTGTTCTTGTTCCAATACCATGCAGTTTTGATGATTATGGCTTTGTAGTATAGTATGAAAACTGGGAGTGTGATGCCTGCACTCCCTTCTTTTTTTTTCAGGAGAGCTTTGGCTATTCAATTATGAATTTCATCAATAATTGTTCTATTTCTTTGAAGAATAACATTGAAATTTTTATTGGAATAGCATTGAATCTGTATTTTGCTTTTGGTAGGATGGCCATTTTAATAATATTTATTCTTCCAATCCATAAACAGGCGATGTCTTTACATTTCTTTGTGTCTTCTTCTATTTCTTTTAACAGTGTTTTATAATTTTCTTTGTATAGGTCCTTTACCTCTTTTGTTAGATTTATTCCCAAGTATTGGATTTATTTTTTGTTTCGATAATAAAAGGGATTTTTTTTTTATTTCTTCTTCTTTTTCAGATTTATTGTTTGGGTATAGGAAGGATACTGACTTTTGCATGTTGATTTTGTATCCTACCATTTCACTGAACTGATTGATGGGTTGAATTAGTTTTTCTGTGGAGTTCTTGGGGCTCTCTATGTATATAATCATATCATCTGCAAATAGTGATAGTTTGACTTCTTCTTTTCCTATTTGGATTCCTTGTATGTCTTTCTCTTGTCTTATTGCTCTGGCTAGGACTTCCAGTATTATATTGAAAAGCAGTGGTGAGAGTGGACATCCTTGTCTTGCTCAAGATCTTAATGGAAATGCTTTCAGCTTTTCATCATTGACAATGATATTGGCTGTTGGCTTGTCATAGATGGCCTTTATGATGTTGAGGTATGTTCCTTGTATCCCAAGAATTTCAAGGGCTTTTATCATGAATGCATGTTGCACTTTGTCGAATGCTTTCTCAGCATCTATTGATATTATCATATGGTTTTTATATTTCTTTTTGTTGATGTGTTGGATAACGTTGATTGATTTTCGGATGCTAAACCATCCTTGTGTCCCTGGAATGAATCCTACTTGGTCGTGGTGAATTATCTTATAGATACATTGTTGGATTCTGATAGCTAAAATTTTATTGAGGATTTTTGCATCAATAATTAATTAGGGAGATTGGCCTATAGTTTTCCTTTTTTGTGTTGTCCTTGTTCGGTTTTGGTATTAGTGTTATGTTGGCATCATAGAACCTGTTTGGTATTGTCCTTTCCTTCTCAATATTTTGGAAGAGCTTGTGAAGGATAGGCACTAATTCATCTCTGAATGTTTGGTAGAATTCATTTGTCAATCCATCAGTTCCTGAGATTTTGTTTTGGGGGAGGAGTTTGATTACCATTTCAATTTCACTGCTTGTCATTGGTCTGTTTAGATATTCTATTTCTTCTTTATCTAGCTTTGGGTGATTGTAGAGTTGTAGGAATTTGTCCATCTCCTCTAGATTGTTGATCTTGTTTCCACTGTTCATAGTAGTTACTGATTATTCTTTTGATTTCTGCTGTATCTGTTGTGATTTATCCACTTTCATTTATGATCCTGTTTATTTGTGCTTTCTCCCGTTTTTCCTTTGTGAGCCTGGCTAGGGGTTTGTCTATTTTATTTATTTTTTCAAAGAACCAGCTCTTGGTTTCATTGATCTTTTGGATTGTTTTTTTAGTTTCAATTTCATTTATTTCTGCTTTGTTTTTTATTATTTCTTTTCTTCTACTGGTTTTGGGTTTTTTTTTTTTTTGTTTTGTTTTTCTTTTTCTAGATCTTTGAGCTTCGAGATTAGGTTGTTTCTTTGAGTTCTTTCTTGTTTCTTGATGTGAGCCTCTATTGCTATATATTTTCCTCTTATTACTGCTTTTGCTGCATCCCATACATTTAGGAAATTGGTGTCCTCTTTGTCATTCAATTGAAAGAATTTTTTATTACTTCTTTTATCTCCTCATTAGTCCAGTGGTCTTTAAGTAGTGTGGTTTTCAATCTCCACGAGGTAGGAGAGTTCCTTACCTGCTTTATATGGTTTATTTCTAGTTTGATGCCTTCATGGTCAGAAAAGATGGTTGGTATGATTTCAATCTTGGTGTATCTGTTGATGTTTGTCTTGTGCCCCAGTATGTGATCGATCCTGGAGAATGATCCTTGTGCGCTTGAGAAAAATCTGTACTCTGTTTTTTTTGGGTTTAGTGTTCTATAGATGTCTGTTAAGCCCAAGCGCTCTACGTCCTTATTTAGAGCTTTAGTGTCTTTACTTATTTTTGTCTCGTTGATCTATCCATTGTCGGTAGTGGTGTGTTGAAGTCTCCCACTACGTTTGTGTTTTCTCTGATGTCTGTTTTCAGAGATGACAATAGTTGTCTGTTATATTTTGGTGCTCCTTCATTCGGTGACTCTATGTTAATGAGTGATATTTCTTCTTGAAGTATTGTCCCTTTGATCATAACGTAGTGACCATTGGGGTCTCTTTTTATCTTTTTGAGTTTGAAATCTGTTTTATCGGTTATAAATATAGCTGTTCCTGCTTTCTTTTTTGGTCCATTTGCTTGTGGGATTGTTTCCATCCTTTAACTTTGAGTCTATTTTTATCTTTTGTAGCTAAATGTGTTTCCTGGAGACAACAAAAGGTTGGGTTTTGTTTTTTAATCCAGCCTGCGACTCTGTGTCTTTTTATTGAAGAGTTTTGTCCATTTACATTTAGAGTTAATACTGATATGTTAGCATCTCTATTTGCCATTGTGTTTGTCTTTCCTTTGATTTTATTTATTTATTCTTTTAATAACTTTTATTTTTGGCCTCCTTTTGTTGTTATTCGTCCATCTCAGGTTCTGACTTTAGGACTCCTTGTAGTATTTTTTGGAGTGGGGGTTTAGTTGTAATGGAATTCCAGAGTTTGTGTTTGTCTGGGAAGGCCCTTATTCTTTCTTCATAGAGGAAGGAGAGCTTTGCGGGATAGAGAATTCTTGGTTGGCATCTGTTTTCTTGGAGTTGTTGACTATGTCCCTCCACTCTCTCCTTGCCCGTAGTGTTTCTTCGGAAAAGTCTGATGTCAGCCTAATTGGTTTTCCTTTGAATGTTATCTGTTTCTTCCCTCTTGTCAGCTTCTTTATTTTTTGTTTGTCCTGGATTCTTGGGAGCTTTCCTATTATGTGTCTTGCTGTATTTTTCCTTTTGTCCTGGAAGTTTGATGTTCTTCTTGCTTCTTGTATATCAATTTTCAGCTCCTTCTTCTTGTTTGGAAAGTTGTCTTCAAT